TCAGGACCGTCCTTAAAGATACGTAGTTACAGACGTGGTCAAGACTGTCCTTAAAGACAAGTAGTTACAGACATGGTCAGGACTGTCCTTAAAGATACGTAGTTAAAGGCATGGTCAGGACTGTTTTTAAAGACACTAGTTACAAGTCTGGTCAGGCCTGTCCTTAAAGACACGTAGTTAACATAACATAATGTTTTGGGACAGCGTGGTACCTGTTGGTCCATCTCGGTTGTCCCATCCTCAAAACTAAACTAAAACTAGCCAGCCCTTACCATTCATATACTATTCCAGCTTTCTCTTAAACTCACTTAAATTAACTGCGTCCAACACACCTGAAGGCAATCCATTCCAAAGGATAACTATCCTGTTAGAAAAATAAAACTGTCTTAGCTAAAGATGACTCCTACCTTGCCAAAATTTATAATTGTGTCCCCTAGTCCCACTATTCTCACTGTTAAGTATGAAAAAGATGATACATCAACACTATCAATTCCCTTTACAATCTTAAACACCTCAATCAGATCCCCTCTAACTCTTCTTTTTTTGGATAGAAAACAATTTGAGAGATTTCAACCCTTCCATCTCAAGCACTATTCTAGTAACCCTTCTCTGAACCTTTTCCAACAATTCAATGTCCTTCCTAAAGTAAGAAGCCCAAGACTGAACACAATATTCCAAATGTGGCCTAACCAATGACGTATACAATGAAATTATGACCCATTTAGACTTGTATTCAATAGTTCTGTAGATACAACCTAAAACCCTATTTGCCCTGATGCTAGCAGCAGCGCACTGCTTGGACGGCTTAAGAGACTGATCAACTATTAAACCAAGATCCCTTTCTTTCATGACACTGTTAAGATTATTCTCATCCAAATTATACTTATGATTCAAATTATGATAACCCACATGCATTATCTTGTATCTATTATAATTAAAACCCATCTGCCATTTATTCGGTCAAGTCACTAAATCCTTTTGTAAATGAGCAGCATCCTCCTCACAGCCAGAAACACCCAAAATTTTAATATCATCATCAAGTGGAAGAGCGGTATGTCTGCGGACTTATACTTGTAGAAACAGGGTTTCGATACCCGTGGTGGGCAGAGAACAGATAGCCCTTTGTGCTTAATACAAACGACAACATTGTCTGCAAATTTAAGTAATGTATTGACCATTTCTTCATCTATTTCATTGATGTAAATCAAAAAGAGCAAATGTCTTGAGGTATCCCACTTGTGACATTAATCCAGTTTGACTGAACTCTATTTATAACCCTCTGCCTTCTTCCATCCAACCACTCTTCTATCCAATTAGATAACTTATCCCCCACACCCACAGAGATAATTTTTTAACAAGACTTTTATGTGGCACATTGTCAAATGCTTTCTGAAATTCCACATACACCAAATCTACATACTTATCCTCATCTACACAAGCAGTAACCTTTTCAAAGGATATAAAAATATTTGTAGGGCAAGATTTTCCATAAGTGAAACCATGTTGACTATCCAATAAAATTCTAAGGTTTGTTAAATGGCTTTGCAAAGCATCTTTTATCAGATTTTCCAAAACTTTTCCCACAACTGATGTAAAATTAATGGGCCTATCACATATCCAATATTTAACCTCCTTCAAAACCATTGGGGAAATATTATGTGGCCCAGGAGCATTATCGTTCTTTAAACTTCCCTTTTTTTTTAACCAGCTCAGAATTAATGCTGCCATCTATTTTTTTTTCTATCTATCTACTGTTCAAGATGTGGAATACTGCTTAAATCTTTGTTAGCAAAACTGAAGAAAAAATGCAAAATTTAATAATCCAGCCATCTCATAATCATCAGATATGAGCCTTTATTTATCATCCCTCAAGGGTCATACCCCCATCCTAAAATTTTGTTTACCGTTAATGTATTTAAAGAAATCCTTACTGTTAATTTTTACATTTTCAGCCAATCTTTTCTCAGACATCCTTTTTGATACCCTAATTACCTGTTTGACCAACTTTCTTGATCTTCTGTAATCTTCTAAAGGCATGGTCAGGACTGTTTTTAAAGACACGTAGTTACAGACGTGGTCAGCACTGTCCTTAAAGACACGTAGTTACAGACATGGTCAGGAATAGTTACTGCTGTTGTGTTGAGATAATAGTTGGGTTCATAATGTTGCTAGTGCCAAGTAGTAGTTGGGTTCATACTGTTGTTATTGTCAAGTAATAGTTGGGTTCATACTGTTGTTATTGTCAAATAATAGTTGGATTCATAATGTTGTTATTGTCAAGTAATAGTTGGGTTCCTAATGTTGTTATTGTCAAGTAATAGTTGGGT